TGCATTCAATGAATCAAATGTCAAAATATGAAACTTTTTCACCAAGAAACTCAAATTTGAAAATTAGGGTTTTAATTTGAAATTTTTCATAACTTAAAATTTTTCTAAGTATAAAAACTCTCTTATTTTTTCCCACTTTTTCACCATGATGCATTTTGATTCAAAGAAAAATTCCAACATGAAAGTTGTAGTCCTCCATGAAATCTACAACTTTGCTTCACAAACTTTTCCCAAAAGATGCTTGGATCTCAAGTTATGAATTTGTGAATATAGGTCCATGAACTAAATAACTTAGTGAAATTTTGCCCTAATTTAGGCAGGTTTTGGACCCAACTTCATATACATTTTTCACCTAGTTCCAAGAGGTATCTCAAATTTAATTTCAAAGATGGATTATAGAGCACATTGCAAGCTTTCCAAAATGTCCAAGAACTCTCCAAGATCATTTTTAGTAGGGAGAATCGAAGAAGGGAAGTTGGCATTTTCTCACTTTTGTTCAAGCCATTTTTCACATAGCATCAAGTTGCAAATCAAATCTATGATGGTTGTATCTTGCTTTACAGGTCCTAATCTTGATATACACTCCATAATTAAATGCAAACTCAGTTGACAAAGGCTTTATCTTTGCTTTTGAAGCTTTACATAAGGTGTATTTCCATTTTTGGCCAAAAGGTTACAATGCCACTTTCATAAAGGGCAACTTTTGCAACTTTGTCAATCTTGAGCATTGAACCTATCCCTTTGGTACAAGAAATTTCTACAGGTCTCAAGCAATGTGTATCAACTCTTATAATCCCTCAAGCAAGCTAGGACAAGCATGTAGCATTGGTCTTGTCAACTTTACTTCAAATGCAAGAAAAGTTGCAAAAGGTGCTAGAGCTTGCACAACTAGTAAGGGCTGCCTTTGTATCACTCCTCTACATATTTGCAAACTTGTTACAAGGCATAACACAATTTGCTTGAACCAGAAACATTCTGAAACTCAAAAACACCAAATTTCTGCCTAAACACTTAGATTCTGCAAAAGCACAACCAACTCTCATTTGGCTCGTGCGTTTTGTGATTTAACACTTCAAGCATCTCATAAACATCATACCAAAGCAATCCAAGCCATCACCCTGGTTCTGTAACCCCTGTTTCAGCATCCACCATTTTCACTTTGGAAGCTTGCAACTTGACTTGTCCAGAGAGTTCCAGCCATCCTCAAAGCAAGATAAGCATTGGAATAGCTTCAGGGAAGTTCAAGGAAGCTCAAACAATCATCAGGCCTCCATTAAAGTCCCTACATTGCCCTATTCGAATCCATCTGAAGGAGGTATTTTTTTCAAACTCTATCTCTCTGAATAGGCAACCTCAAGCCACGATTTGTGAAGGAGAAACATAGTCCTTATCATGACAAAACTGTACATATCATTACTTTTCATTTATGTTACTTGTGCTAAGAGAATTTGAAGCTTGAAGTTCCTGAAATTTTTAGGTCACGAATTAGGGGTTCCAAAATTATCCTTGATATTTTAGAGTTAGGTTACATGATTTATATGGTTGGAATCGTGAGCTCAAATGCCACATGTTTCATGTTATGAGTTTTTGTTTTTATGCAAGCATGAGCAAGATCCAGGTTTGAACTAAAACCGTGCAAGTAAGCTGGCCAGAGGACAGGGATGAAGTGTTCTGGGCTTTTTGGCGCCTTGGGCCTTTTTGTTTTTGCTAATCACACCCCCTGACTTGTTATTTGCACCCCTCTGGCTGATTTTTATATTTTTCATATTTTTTCATATTTTTATATTTATTGCTTTTGATTATTTTTTCTAAATAATAAAAAATTCTAAAAATAATTTCTTTATTGTTGCAATTTTATTTTTTTTTATTATTTTTTTTTACATAAAAATTAGTTTATTTTGATAAATAGATTTTATTTTCTTAAATAACTTGTAAATATATTTAAAAATACTTAATATTTTTATTATACTATTTATACTCATAAATACTTATTTTCTATACATATTTAATTTTTAATATTTAAACATAATATTATTTATTATTTTTTTATACAAAAACATACAAGTTAGTAAATATAGAATATTATTTCCTTTTAATTGAAAAAACTAGGGTTTTAAACCCCTCCAAAAATAATATTATTTTTTCTAGGGTTTGAATTAATTATTTTTCTCATACAAAAACACAACATTTTTTTACATAAACATTGCATTGCATTTTAAATATTTGTCTTATATTTATTTAATTCGCGCAATATTCGATTTGGTTGTAATAATATATTTAGGTTTATATTTGTGCAAAATCCCCATTCAAACTTGTATCCCCCCTCCCATAATAATTGTTGTAAAAGCTTAGTTTATTTTACGCAATTTATCGCTTTTATACCATGATTAGTAAATTAGGGTTTGCATGACAAGAACAAAAACAAAGCAAAATAGAAAATCCTAAATGCAAGACAAAAGCATGAAAATGATACACTTTGCACACAAGCACCCTTAGGGTTTCTCCCACTTGGTTGCCTAAAATAAAATGGACATGTTACGCATGCAAAGTATCTTGGCAAAACAAAACAAATATAAGATCATAGTCCCTCGATGACGCTATTCAAAAGGTTGCCTAAACAAAATGATCTTGGTCCCTAAAAAATGCTAAGATACTTGGCAACATTGCTATCATGGTTATACGATGACCCACGCCCGTCCCGTTTACATCCAAAGATAGGGTTGCTTACCAAATCAATGGTAAGTCAACAATGTCAAAGGAATAAAAAGGCACAAGAAAGACATTTGAGTAGGTAGATAGCTTCTAAGTTACTTGCTCCATTTCAAAACAATCCTTGCTATTTTCAAAAAAAACAAACACACACATATTTCAAAACATCTTGTAAAACATTGAAAACATTTTTCAAAAGACAAACATCTTTGTATACATTCTTACGAACGAGAATCATTACAAAGATTGCCTAAACGAATGGCCTCTTTTCAAAATACTTTCAAAACCACACCAAACACCATTTCAAACAAAACAAAGCAAGTGATCTAAATAAGCAACTAAGAGCCCATGGAAAACCATGGATGAAAAGGGTGCTAACACCTTCCCTTTTCATAATCTACCCCCCGAACTCAAGAAAACATCTCAAAGGTCTTTCCTGTGCTTTTTTACCTTTCCTTTTGGATAAAATAAAAGTCGATGGCGACTCTTGCTAACCGCGACATTTGCGATAAAACGCAAAACCTCAAGTCAGTTCTCCCACCGCATCACAAACTCCAATACTAAATTCATCGTTGTAACAAAAAATGAATATTTTTCCATGAGACAATTTTTTAATCTATTAAACTCAGTTTAAACTTCATATTGCAACAAATCCAGTACTTTCTTGATGACTAAAATTTACATGTTTATCATTATATTAGATAAATTATATTCAGAGAGAACAAGCTTCAGTTGGGTCTAAAAACTTGACATTATTTTAACTCAAATACAGAGCTTGAACATACAATACAGTTCTAACAGTTAATCTACAAGAGCTTATCTCAAATTTACATGCATCTATTTATCATGCTATGTCCTTGCATCCTACACAACGTTCGTACTTGTGCTTGTTTATACTGCACATTAACTATGATTATTTTACACATGCAAGCCTTCTTTGGTGTGTGTTTTCGTCTTCAAACTCTTTTAGAGTAAATAGTTTGCACCCATTACTTAACTGCTAGATATTTGAAGAATAAATCATCAATATAATACACAATAACAAACAACTTAAATTTGAATAATATCAATATAGATTCTAGTTTATGCAACATAAACACTAACAATTCAATTGAAACTCTAAATTAAAACCATAATCCCCAATTTCATAAATGTTGGATAAGAATTGGATAAAATACAAGCCCTAATCTCCAATTTCATAAATCATGTGTAAGAATTCAAATCAAATCCAATTTTATATACAAAACTAATCACTGAATCCATTGTTTCTGGGTTAGAATTCGAAATAATGTTTCAACTAAAAATACAGACTCTAATCTCCAAATTGGTTGTTTTTGGGTAAGAACGATTTATCAACTTGAACTTAAAATACAAACCCTAATCACTAAATCGATCATTTCTGGGTAAGACTTCAAATCAACTTCAACTTAAAATACAAATCTTATTACTCAAATCGAGTGTTTCAATGTAATAACTAAAATTAACTTGATTTTAGAAAAATATAAGATTTAGATATGAACAACTACATGCAAAATGAGGGAATAGCTTTGAACCGTTCAATGAAGAAATTGAACAACAAAGATGGAGGAGATACGAGAGAAGGAAGAAGAAGGTGGGAGGGAGAAGAAGATGATCAGGGAGAAGGGAGAAGAAGATGATGGAGGATTTCAATTGAAAAACAAAAACACGTAAAAAAATGGAGTTTTTGGTTAAATATTTTCTTAATTAATAAATTATTATTAAATTAATAAATAACTGATTTACAATAAATAAAAATTTCAAAAGAAAGACTTATGATAAACTACCCGCAAGGTATAGATAATATAACATTTTAAGATTTTAAAGTCTTTTCTAATTGGCCAATTAAAATGACATTTAAAAAAAAATCAATTTACATACTTCACCATAGTAGTCCCCAAAACAAAAATCACAAATCAAATAACTAATTACCCATACCTAATACCTTATAGGATTAATTTTATAAAAATGTTTTTTCTCTTTCCCTTTACATATATATCAACTACTCGTCTACAATCAAATGTGAAGTTAGATAAAGAAATAATTGGAGTTCAACTGCCAAGATTTAACAAGTTCGCAGACATCATATAAATGCATGAGGATCTAAGTCTAACTATTAATCTATCTAGTTGTGACCAATGACAACCAAACGGATAGCTTCACATTAACTCACTCTCTACCCATAATTTTTGTGGTCCCTCTCACAACTCTATGTAATATTCTTGCCCTAACCTCTCTTCTACTACAACTACCAAATTAAGCCTCTTATCACCATGGTGTTTCCACAACAAGAGCAAGAGAGTCTTATCTATGATGTAAGACTATCTTCCATTGGGCCTGGTCGAGTTAGCGGGTCAGATGTTATTCACGATCTCGGTGGTCTCGACCTGGCCATGAAACTTCATTATCTTAAGGTGGTTTATCTATTTGACTCTGAGGCGGCACAAGGTCTAACTATTATGAAAATAAAAGAGTCATTGTTTACTTTGTTCAACCATTATTTCATCACGTGTGGCCGGTTTCGAAGATCGGAGCCTGGTCGGCCGTATATCAAATGTAATGATTGTGGAGCAAGGTTTGCTGAGGCTAAATGCACCAAAACTTTACAAGAATGGCTTCATATGAAGGATTGGTCTTCCTACAAGTTGCTCGTTCCTCAACAAGTTCTTGGACCTGAATTATCTTTTTCACCTCCTCTTTTCTTGCAGGTTCTTTAAATAATGCACCATGCATATATGCATATGCATCTCTTTACTCTCTTCTCTTATACTATATTAAATTTTGAATGGCTTAGAATTAGCTAGTTATGTAAAGAGAAAAACTCTTAATATTAAGTGTTTATTAAATGACTCACTTAAATTAAATATGCTAATTTTGAAACTTAATAAGTTTGTAATAATTAAGAAACTTGAAAAAATAATCTTAAAGTGTGATAATTTAATTAAAAATAAATGACTATTTGTATTAATTTTGTTATATAATTTTTTCAATTTATCTTATTTAAAATAGACATAGGATTTAAAATATCTAATTTATCTTATTTCAAGTGTTTTATGTATATTTATTCTACTTTTTATCTACAATATTTAAGTAAATGTTATCGATGATATAGTACTTCATTTAATTTAGCTATTTCAATATGGTCATGCTAACTTGTATCTAAAAGCATATGTTAAAAAATTTATTAATAAAAATTAATGATAAATTTTAATTAAATTAATACACGGTTTTTTTTATAATGAATATTCTTTAAGAATTTTAAATAAAAAATTATTCTATTAAATATAAGTCTTTTAAAAATATATCTTTTAAATTTATTATTTTAATTTTTAATATATTAAATATAAATATTTTCAAACAAAACATGTTTTTTTTTACACTCTTAATAAGTGCCCGGGAGCACCTTTAGCATTTCCTTTTTTTTATATGTGTGTAATAGATGAATACCTGACCCTCTTGGAACATAGGGTATTTATAGTCTCCAGCGTTGGGCCAAGATCCCCTCATTAGGCTGACCAGAACTGGCCCAATAAAGGAACTGTCAGGTTCTACGTGTGTAGTAGGGCCCCACACGTGGTCCCCTTCCTGGTGGTGTTCTGCGAAAAATAAGGAGAGACGAAGACGCGGTCTTTCCGAAGCTTTAGAGGATTCTATAACAGTTAGGGTGGACAGAATCCGCTCTACGGGGAGGGTGCTCGAACTGGACTCGAGCTGGTGTTCCCTTGGTCGGGAACACTGCTTGTCGCGGGCAATGGCGGGCATAGTAACTGCAGTATGTGGTCGGGCATGTTCAGTGATGATCCGTTTGTGAGCCTTCCTCGAAGAATTATTTAGATTTGGACCTTTATCTGCCTTTTGGGCCAAGGCGGGCCCAGTCTAGAACAATACTCTTGATAAAATTTCAAATAAAAAAAATATTATATTAAATATAAGTCTTTTAAAAAAAACATCTTTTAAATTTATTATTTTAATTTTTAATATATTAAATATAAATATTTTCAAACAAAACATGTTTTTTTTAACACTCTTAATAAGTGCCCGGGAGCACCTTTAGCATTTCCTTTTTTTATAGTTTATAATGAATGTTTTAGACAACTACTTTACTTTAAAATCTATCTTTTAAGAAGTGTGCACAACACCTAATATGACATGAAATCATAATTGTATTAAGTACTAACTAACTATATTCATAAATGTGATCTTTTTACATAACTAAATATTGACGAAATGGAACTAGTTGTCAACATAAATGTATGTCAGTAGGCATAAATGCTCGATGTTTTCACCTTATGGGGACAACAAAAATAGCATTATTTGTTACACCTAAAACGGAAAGGTCTTTATACTATTTAAATATGCAGAGTAATAATAATAAGAAAGCAAGAGATATTTTATATAGACTATTTTTAAATTTGATCGATAAATCAATGTGAAATTATTGAATTTTTCTATTTGGTTAAACACTTGACAGAAATACATGCATGTTTTATCTTAATATTATGGTGAGATTTGCCATTGAAAAGTTATATCAAACATTTAATAAAAACTACCTACATGAAAAAATTTATGAGTACTACCTAGTACCTATTATAAGTTAATTTTTACTTAACTTATAAATTTATTTACGTAAACAAAATTTTATTGATGAGAAGTAAATTAGCCACGATATTTTTAATATATATATATATATATATATATATATATATATATATATATATATATATAATATATATATATATATATATATATATATATATATATATATATATATATATATAGATATATATATATTGTTCTGGACTGGGCCCGACAGGCCCAAAAGCATTACTAAGGCCCAGTCCAAAGGGACTCACCTAAGGACCACACTGGGCAAAGGGGGTCGCGTCCATGCCCGACACCCTGATGTCCAGCTCGACACTCGCTGTTCAGCTCCACGCAGTGAAGTCATGCTCGGACACCCTGCTGTCCGACTCTATGTCCTGACGTCCAGCTCGACACTCGCTGTTCAGCTCGAGGTCTTGGCGTCGGAGCTCGGCACCGTGCAGCGCAGCTCGACATGATCTCGAGCTACCTGGCTAGGGCAGACTCAGTCCACCGTTACCCC